ATACGATTTACAACACTCAAATATTGACAAAATAAATCTATAGAAAATTAACATTGTCAGTTGGTGACATAATTATTTATAAAGAAGTCTGAAGTTTAAAAACCAAAAAAATCGACTGACAAGCCTTAATGGATAAAAAAAAATATTTCAATTTTGTTTTAAGACTAGCTATCGCTCACGACTCCATCTGTGAGGAATTAAAAAACTTAAGTATATGTGTTCTTCCAGACTATGTTTGACAAATTTCATCGAGATCCATACAACCGTTCTGACTACCTTCTTACATCCATCCATACAACTATCAACTTACCCAAATGCATTCTTTTCCTTCCCTTATGGTGCGGTATTTGGAAAGGTTTCACATTACGCAGTTGTGAATTTATAAGAGGTTCAATTCTGAAATTAAATATTAGCAAATTGTTTTACAATCATCATCATCACCAGCCTAAACTTGTCCAATGCTGGACGTAGGCCTCCCCCATCGATTGCCACAATAGCCGGTCCTGTGCCGGCTGCACCCAGTGCACTCCCGCAACCTTCACCAGGTCATCGGTCCATCGTGCGAGAGGCCTACCTACGCTACAATATCACTAGGGAAATTATAAACAGATGAAAATAAACATAATCGACATAAAAATGAACAAATTATGTCACTGATAGTGTATAAAATTCGACAATTATCAATCGGTCTGGAATATAAGTTCAAGTTCGTCCTGTAGGCCTAATTTTCATCCTCTTGGATGGGAAGTGGAAGTGGACTTTCCGAATGAGATGCATGGAGGGGGAAAATATTATCTTTGTGTGCATCCTCTCCTCCGTCAATTAAAGGTAGACAACGCATATGCAATTACGTATGTCTATGGGTAACGGTCACTTCGCTATTTCAGCGATATCAAGTGGCCGCTCGCTCGTTTGCCACTTTATGATATAAAAAGTACTTAATTTAATCAATTTTTAAACAGACTATGTCACTGATAGTGTAAAAATTTGGTCAATTTTCAGTCGGTCTAGAATATAAGTAACTCACCTGTAAGCAATTGGATCATAAGGATGGAATATATTAAAGAACTTCTTGCATGTCGGCAAACAGAAACCGGAACCTAGTAATTCTACGCCTCGAATACATTCGAAAATTGCTGAAAAGATTAAAAAAAATACATAAGAATAGTTAAAAAACGAAGTTTTTAATGCAATTGTCAAGTCTAAGATTTTTTTAAATTATAAGCAGATTTTTTTTAATTTACTAATATTTCTTGTACCATTCCAACTTAGCTCTATGCTTGTGCTGAGATATAACAATAGTCGAATGACGGGATTCGAACACCCGACCTCCTGATCAGAAATCCGTACCGTTAACCATTAGGCTATTGACGCTTTAATTCGACTGTTGCACTATATCATTGAATACTTTACACAAAATGGTTCTCTAACGACCTTCAACATACATTCTTAATATAAAAACGACTAAATTCTCTAGTTTTGTCCGGTGTCGGCACCGACAACTTTAGAGCTGATTGGGGGCCCTTCATTAAGCTGAGGGGGACTGGTGATGAGGCTAAATCGTGCGAAGATGTTAAAGCGGGCTCTACCACTGTAAAAAATGTCTTGACTTACCAATAGGACTGCCGAGTGCATACAATGCATCTGGTTTGAACTCTAATATCGGATATTTGACAGTAGGTTGTCCTGTACCGGCTGTTCCATTGACGTATTTCTTATCTGAACACGTATGATCCTTGAAATAAAACAAGAAATGTATTACAAGCATATCCAAAATGTCTTTTATAAACTAGTAACTAAATTAAACTATTAATTGTAAAATACTATGATTATGATTACTTACCAATGGTTTTTGATGACATAGAAGATCGTAAAGTATGACACTGCCTAAAGAATGACCTCCCAATGACACTCCTCCAGTAAAAGTTGGGTTTCTGGATTTAAAAAGGCTGTATATACGATTCAGTTCCTTGCACACCGTATCAACTATTGTCTGTAATAGAAATATGTCAATATTATATTTAAAACTTTGAAAACTTGACGTGATTATCTGTACATTTAAAAAAAAATTGTTACTATAATATGCTTATTAATTCTTTTTTATCTGTGGTAGATCGTCGGTGGCTCAAGGGTTAAGCTGTTGACTTGTCAGCAGGTCCTGGGTTAAAATTCCGGCATGTACCAATGTGTTTTTACATATATACATATATCAGATGTTGTTACTGTGTAGGAAAACATCGTGATGCACATATCTGAGAAGTCAAATGTGTAAAGTCTTGCACTGGACCAGCATTCATTTTTACATAGTCTCACTTAGGGTAGATTCTGAGACGAATCGCAAACGCAAATTAAAGTTCGTTACATTTGAGCTATGTTTAAACATAATTGTATCAGTCAGTTACTAACAATTACTGATTAGACCGACTTCAAACTGACAAAGTTCACAATCGACCTACAACATACGACTTTAAATATCTCTTACCTGACAATAAACAGGACTTGTATAGAACAGTACATCCAATACAGTATCATTAGTGAAATTCCTAAGCCTGGGAATGCTATCAAGTGTGACCTGAGCTAATCTTTTATCAACACCATTCTCCCCGGAATGTAACGTCGAATGCCAAGATATTGGTAGAACCTGGAAAGTACATAAAATCTAATAAAACATCGTGAGTTATGAAGGAAATCCGACAGTGCCGGTGTATCACAACGCTAGTCTTATTAAAATATCAACGTTTATGTCCCCTCACTACATCTGATGCAAGACTTTGTTACCAAAGTGCGCTTGCGTCAAATGATTCAAAGTCATAATGTCTAAAACTGTGGAATACGATAATTTATTTTTCATAATAAAATTAGTAGATTTTTGTTAACTCACTAATATTTCTTGTACCATTCCAACTAAGCTCTATGCTTGAGCTAGGATATGGCTTACGACAATAGTAGAATTGCGGGATTCGAACCCCCGACTTCGTGATCGGAAATCCCTTAACCATTAGGCTATTGACGCTTTACTTGTATAGGCGTCTTTCACGACTTCGTCCGCGGGGTGTTAAAAAAACTTAGTAGTCTATGTGTTCTTCCAGACTATGTTCTATATGTATGACAAATTTCATCAAGATTTTTTTATAACATAAGGTGGCAAACGAGCGAGCAGCCACCAGAAATGACCGTTGCCCATAGACATACGCAATTGCATATGTGTTGCCTACCTTTAATCGACGGAGGAGGGGATGCACAGAAAGAAAATATTTTCCCTTCCCATGCATCTCATCCGGAAAGTCCACTTCCACTTCCCATCCTATCCTTATAAGAAAAAGGGTGGGAAGGAAAAGAAGACTAAAAGAGGCCTCCGGGACGCACACTCATCAGACTGTACGCGGAATTACTTCCACTTGACGCCTGTCTTCTGTGTGGTCGTGGTATTTCACTGAGCGAGGACAATTCGTGCGAACATGTTAAAGCGGGCTCTACCACTGTCAAAGTATGTCCATGCATCTGTTCTGGAGATACCTACAATCATCCATCCATACATCTAAATATTAGCAATTATGATATAAATAACATAGTTTGAAAAGCTAAACCTTTTACTTTTCTTAAACTTCTTACTAATATTATAAATGCGAATGTTTAGATGTATGTAAGAAGGTATCTCCAGAACAGCTGTATAGATCTTGATGAAATTTGTCATAGATGTAGAACATAGTCTGGAAGAACACATAGACTACTTAACAAGTTTTTTTTTATACGCGCGGACAGTCACGTGCGATAGCTAGTTACAACTCACCTCTATTCTGCCGACTATTCCATTTTCGTAAGAGTTTTTATAATGGGACTGAATCAATTGCAGACTCGTCGCTCGGAAGTCGTCAACTATGGAATTAAATTGTTAATATCCAATTCAAACAACACCTTATATTAAAGAACATAAGATTGAAAATCAATTAACAATTGTCTTAGTTCCAATACTTCTTATAACTTCTTATACCCTAGTACTTTAGACGGAAAAATAAAATCAATTGCTATAAAAACTAGACCTTACTGTTTAGTCAGTAAGATTCAAAATCGTTAATATCGTAACAAAGGAACTTCTAACAATTCATTATATACTAGTAAATTATATAGAAAATTAAATAAATTTCAATGTAAACTAGACCTTAATACCTTGTTTATAAGATTGAAAATCGATTAACAAATCTTAGTATTAATACTCCAAAAAATTTCTTATACCCTGGTACATTAGAAAGAAAAAATTAAAATAAAATTTCATTGAATTGAAAAATCTTTTCTTTCTTTTTTGACTTTTAATTTAATTCATATAATAAAAAATCGATAATTAATTTATAATACCCTAGTACTTTAGACGGAAAAATAAAATAAAATCAACGAAAACTTGACCTTAATCCTAAGCAAATAAGATTGAAAATCGATTTACACTAACTTCTTAACTCTTAATTTAATTTAAAAAATTAAAAATTGTCAATTGTCAAATTTCAATTTATTTACACAGATAATAAAATAAACTTGAATAAAGACTCGACCTTAAAACGATTTAATTAAGATTGAAAATCGATTGTCTTAACATATATTTTAGACATGAAATAAATTTCAATGAAATCTAGACCTTAATCCTATGAAATAAGATTAAAATTCAATTATCTTACTGACTCCTCGACTATAACGATAGTTAACAAAATTAAACATCGATAATTGTTTTAAGAAATCCAATACTGCAAACAATTCCTTATACCCTGGTACATTAGACAAAAATTAAAATCAAATTTCATTGAAAACTAGACCTTAACTTTATGTCATAAGATTGAAAAAAACTAGACCTTACTTCAAAGCTTATAAAATTGAAAATGACTTGCCTTACTAAGTTCTTGACATCAAATTCATTGAGCAGAAATTTAAATTATTTAAAAAAAACAACCCTTATTTTTAAGTAGATAAGGTTCAAAATCTTACCGACTTCTTCTACAGGACGAAACCTCATATCACACGCGGATCCGACGCCATGACATAGCAACAGCAAATGATCCACGTGTCCCGGCTCCGTATCTTCTATCTCGCTCTCCGCCACCCCCCTCCGTACAACACGAGGTCGAGTTGTCGTTTGCTAGATAGAGATAGAAATATAATAATATATTACCCATTTCGATGAAAATCTTTTCCGACTTCCTTCTCGCTGCGTTCAGTCTACAACAATAGTTATTTCGTTTAATTACTGATTAACTATTATAAATTGTCAGGCGCTTCAGTTGGCACGTCTGGTATAACAAAACTCTTGTTAGCGACGTGCCAAGATGACACTGTCACAAAATCTATCCACACGTTCCCGAGATAACACGGAACATACACAAACTTCCGAACAGACAGACAAACAAATAAAATACGATATATATTTCTCGATATACCATACATACAGTCAGTCCAAATTTATTAATTTAAACTAGCTGTTGCCCGCGACATCTATTGCACAGAGTATTAACGTAATCAGTAACCTATGTGTTCTTCCAGACTATGTTCTACATCTATACCAAATTTCATCAAGATCCATACAGCCTTAAGAGGTACATTCTAACATCCATCCATCCATACATTCGCGATAATATTAGTAAGAAGATTCTAACATTATTGGCATACCGGTTCTGGCCCACGCCGTGTACAAATAATACCAGATGGTCGTTACGACCTATCTGACATGGGTTTATATAATTTGTTGAAGGAGAACGGAACACCCTCTTCCTATCAGATAGACGCTGGAAGAAAAGGGATGAATGAGGATTAAGGATGGGATAGCATCGGGATGTGAAAACTTCGAACAAATTAGCTATTAAAGCAATTTGATTGCCCAAAATTACACTCGGGAAAAGATGGGACGAGGAAGTGTATTTGACCAAGGAAAGGACGCAAAGATGGAACATTCTCTTTCTTTGCATCCCCTCCTCTGTCGAATAAAGGTAGGCAAGGCAACTACAATTGAGGATGTCTATGGATATTAGTCGCTTCGCTATTTTGGCGAATTAAAGTGGCTGCACGTTTGCCACCTTATGAAATAAATTAATAAAAAAAACTCATAAGTAAAGAACGTCATCGTCACCAGTTCACTGAGGGTAGTCTACTCTAAGTGAGAGTATGTGATAGTGAATGCTGGTCCAGTGCAAGACTTCACACATTTGACTTTCTCAGATATGTGCAGCATCACGATGTCTTCCTTCACCGTAACAACATACGATAAATGTATTATATATATATATATATATATAAAAACACATTGGTACATAACGGGATTCGAACCCAGGAGCTTACTTTCGGCAAATTGCGGTTAAACCCCCCTTGCTACTAAACCCCCTTTGCCATCTAAGCCATCTAAATCTTTATACTCACAGACGAAGAGCTGAAGGCATCAGCTGCGTTGGTCTGCAGGAAGTGGACCATTACACCAGGTCCGTGCATCACCACCAGCTCACCATTAGGCAGGATTAATCTCCTATGCCATTCACCAGTTAGGATACCATGCTTGTATTCCTCCTGTAGATAAAAAAGATTACTCGAATTAGATTTAACTAACTAGAATTATAACTAACTAGAAAAATAACAGTGATAGAGCGAGCTTTAACATCGCAGGAATTGTCCTCGCCTGCAATACGAGCACACAGAAGACAAGACTCAAGTGGAAGCAATTCCAACTACAGTCAGATAAGTGTGTGTCCCGGAGGCCTAATTTTACTCCTCTTTCCCTTCCCAACCTTTTTCTTATAAATAAAGGATGGGAAGTGGAAGTGAATTTTCCGGATGAGAGGATGCATAGAAAGGGAAATATTATCTTTCTGTGCATCCTCTCCTCCGTTGATTAAAAGTAGGCAACGCATATGCAATTACGTATGTCTATAAGCAAGTCGCTTCGCTATTTCAGCGATTTCAGATTGTCGCTCGTTTGCCATGTTATGATATAAAAATAGATTCTTTAAAGGTACACATCCATTGGACACAAGATTGGACTGCAGATTAAACGGATTGACTTTGTCATAATGTGGACGCGATTGGACGCAGTGCTTTGACATAAAAAGCAAACTAAAATCCGGTGCGTCTGGTGCGGGACAATGTTAGTTTGAAGATATCTCCAGAACAGTCCAACGGATCTTGATGAAATTTGCTATAGATGTAGAACATAGTCTGGAACAACACATAGCCTATTAAGTTATTTTTTTAATTCCGTGCAGACTGAGTCGCGGGGTACAGCTATCAAATATCTTACCTCTAGTTTCTCAGCCACGACCTCTGAATAAGGTACATATCTCGCATCGGTGGTACCTTTGTAGAACCAACTGCATCTGTAAGATAAAAACAATAAATATAAGTTAAAAAAACTTGATATGCACTGATCTTTATAGATAGACTGGCTATAAGATATATCATTTTGTTCCTATTTGATTTTCGTCATTTTTCGGTTGCGGTTAAGAATTAAGTGACACGTAACATTAATAAACTAATTTAAAACGGATCAAAAAAACTGTCACTTCCAGGCTGTATGCATAAACGTAGTGTTGTTTGTCATGAGCGGACACGTCATAATTGCCATGCCGGAGAGAGGGAGTGTCAGTCGATGTCAGACCTTTGGACCGGCAACACGTGTCGGTACGTGAACGAGCCAAATATAACGCAATGAATGCTACATAGGTAACCACATAACAATTTATAGAGATCTATGAGAGATCCCCTAAAACACTCAGGTGAAGAATA